CAAGTTTGATAGCTCCAGCTGCCTCTGCAGGTGCGCAGAAGAGATTTTCCTCGCTTTATTCAGGTTAGCGCTTTTTGATATCTAGTTTATGTAAAGCTATCTCTTGAGAGCTGATAAAAGCAGAAAAGCTTATTTTCTACTGTCGGCAAAAAATACCTGACAGAGGCTGAAATCTGCTAATTTGAAAATCTGGCAGGACACCGTAAACAGAAACAAACAAGTTCTCTTTAGCCACTACAAAGAACGGTTGCTTTCCTTAGTATATCAGCTTTACAAGTGAAATTTATATACTTTCCATATGCATCTCACGTACTTATTGTATTTATTGCTCAACTTTTAATTCCCATCCAGAATAGGCTCAGTATAAATAATAAATAAAAGAAATAAGCACCTAGTAAATGTGAAGCGTCATTCACCGGTTTCTAACATAACAAAAAGGAAAAACCAGGAACCTGAACAGATAGGTTAGGAGCTTTTATATAATTGCTTAAACACAACTTAATATAGCTTCAGCTTAACAAATAGAAGTATCTAATTTAAGTAGCAGTCAAAATAATTCAGTATAACAAGTTTTTGCAACCGTGGAACAGGATCAGCTATAGCAATCAAGGATTTTTCTCCCATTACCATTTTGATCATGGGAATTACACTGCCAATCAATACTATAAGCAAGGAAAATATAAAGGAAAAAGAAATTACCTGTGCTTATTTGGGTAATAATGCACTTGCCAGTCTAGATTACAAAAAAAAGTGAGCTCCTCCACTTTAATATTATACTGTGGCAGAAAACCAAAATACTTTAATTATACCAACTGGGAAGATTCAACCTTTTTTCAGGAAACTAATTAAAAAGTAAATATATAAAAGAAAGACAAGAGCAATGGTTTCAATTATGTTTTTTGCTTATTTTTCCCCATGGTAAGGCCACCAAATCAGCTCCCAGCTTCTTTTTAGAAAGCTTAAGCAGACTGAGCTCTTCAAACGTGTCCTTCAGTGCACTAATAATGTCTGTGGCTCTCTCCCGAGCCTCTCCAATTTTTCAACATCCTTGCTTAAAGCAGGGGCACCAAAACACAGTATTCTGAAACCGGTCTCATCGATGCCAAACTGGCCATCAAAGTAACAGCTCTCATTTCATGTAATTGATTTTCACACTGGAGTAGCTTATCTTCTGTTGTTCCTTATTCCCCTCCCACCCCCCAACAGGTTAGGGCTCTTAGGAAGAACAGGAAACGTGCTCTAAATGAGCCTGGTACTCTAGCCTTAAATTTAGTATTTCACTTTATTTAGATGGGCTGAGGTTTCCAAGCAACACAGGTGGCCTGCTAGAGCAACTGGCCTGGACTATTCGGATCATCTGCAAATTGCATTGACAGTGATATTCTGCCAGGTTCCAGGTTGTCCAAAAAATGCTGAAAACGCATGCTTAATTCCAAACCTTGAAACCTGGTCAAAACCCACTACGAGCACCCTCGCTCGTGTGGCATCGTTTGCCACCCGCCAGTTTTGTATGTGTTCTGTTGACATTGTACAGTGCTGATTTTTTAATGAGAACATTGTATAGGTCAAAGTAAACCCTACGAAATACTCTGCCTGCTGTGAGTATTGTAGAGCCAAGGTGGTTAGAAGATACCGTAAGCAGAGGGGAGGGATTTGGGTTCAAATACGATGAAGTAGAGGAGGGAACTGACCCTGGACCTAACAGCTCTGGACTGCAAAGCAAACGCAGCTATGACCACTGCTGCTGCTACCTATGCTGTGAACCTGCCTGCCCTTTTCCTTTACCTTTATGACATCTGCCTCAAAACACGTTCTTTGTTGGCTCAAATCCATTAATCTGCCTCACCCCAAACAGAACCTTTTCCCCTCTCCCCTTTCAAAAAGAAAACCTCCTTTTTCTTTGTCCAGATTGACTCATCATGCATTTAATTCCTGGGTTGACGAACAGAAAAAAAAGAGTTTGGCGCAAAGTCTTGATCTGTTTAAGGCCACCTAGAGATTCAGGAGTTAGGCTTGGTGTCGTGGTGAGGCAAACAGCCTCAGCTTCCTTAAGGTCTGCCTTTCACGGTAAAGAAGGCAGATCTTCAAGCCCGCATCCTAGAGACAAATCCAAGAAGAGTTTGAGGCTGCCGGCACTAGCCTGTCTCTGTTTTTAGTAAAATGCAAGTGAGAGTTAATGAAGTACATAAGGAAACTCTTATCATCACACACGCACATCTGACACATTATGGTGCAGGTAGGAAAGTGAATCACACCAAAGTGCAGAAAATCAGGAGAGAGCGCTCAGTAAAACGTGGTATATACAGTCCCTCTGCTCCCTGGCTTGACAGAAATGGCAGCCATGACCCTGTCGTACTTTCAGACCCGAAATAAAGGCTCAAACGCTTGGCTGTGTGATTACAGCCAAGACGCCTGGGGAGCAAGCAAGCAAATAAGAAAGAAAGAAATTGGTTTTGTACTTGTAAATACAACAAAGAGAGTAAAAATTCCACTGTTTCATGGGTTTGTGCAGAATGTGAAATTTCAGCTGTTCAATCTACAGCTTCTAGGAAAATTAAGTTTAAGTAATATAAATAATATACACCCAATGTTTTTTATTCCAGTATTTTCATTAATTTATGTGAGAAGGTATTAAACAGCAGGTATTCTTTATATCACTTTTTCTTCTTATATATCAAACCATGCGTTGTGAATATTATATATTCATATTACATATGAATCATACCTTATTTTAGAGCTCACAAGTAGCTAAACTTGTTTAATTATGATATATAAAGTAATTAAATATTAGACAACGTATGACTCAAATTCAATGTATCCTCTTCATCTTTATCCCAGAAGTATACAGTGGTGAAAAATGGTTATGTCCTAAAATTTCATTCCCTACCAGCACAGGATGATCAAATATGATTGTCAAAGAAGAGCCAGCCTGTAACCAGCTACTGAGTTTCATAAAATCCATGGGGTACACTGAAGAGAAATGTACTCCAGCAAGAAGCAAATAACAATTTTTACAGTAGTTATATGAAACCACACAGAAAGAGGAAGGCGTGCGGTAATGACACGAGAATCTTCACCGCTGTTTTGGTGCAGCAGGCTGTGGGAATGGATTTTTAGGTTTTTTTTACATAAGACCCCTCACTTGGGAAGTCATGATGAGCGGACTGCGTTGTTCAGAAATAATTTTGTTTTTAAAATGTCATTTCATATAAATCTTATGCTTTAACAACAGGAAAAACTTAAAGAAGCTCTGAAGTTGTCTTCCAGAGGGATATATCCTGAAAAGAGGGGAGCTTTGTCCTCTGTTCATCTGCATAAACAGCAAGGATCCTCTTTCCTCCTCCTTTCAGTACTTTTTCCTCTCCCCTTTTTCCTGACCTTACCATCCCTTTTAATACTGAAGACTCTTTCTTCTAATCTTCTGGTCTTAGAGCCTATCCTAACATACTCTTATTCACAGCCATTTCCAGATTCTTCCAGCTTCCTTTCCCTAAGTCCAATAAGGACTTTCAAACTGTTAAATACTTTTGTTTTCCCTTTCTGTAAAACCTCCACTGTTTCTGAGAGATACCTTCAATATAGTTGTCGCAGAGCTTTCACCTTGGATTTCACTCAGCTTGAAAAGTGTAATACCTTGTAGGTTACTTTAAAAAGTTTTTTAAAACTTTGAAAAAGGCTTTTTTTCTTGTTCCTTTAGAATTCGAGCCAGGGATCAGACAAACGTATCTCCCCGTTTCCCAGCCTAGCCACAACAAAGTCCACAAAATCTAGCAATAATGGGAGAAGAACAAAGTCCATGAACCTTTCCAAGGCTTGAGGTGCCTATGAAAAGTTTACCTTTGGCGTAATATGCTACGATACACTGGCACGTGGAGTTATGGGCAGTTTATGGCCTACATTTATGTTGCCTCTCATGCAGGGGAACTCGAGACACACTGTGCAGGGTAGGCAGGAAAATGTGAGTCAGGTGTGTTGCTGCAATACAGATAGTAAGCACGGTTTTGGAAACAAGGCCCATGACAGTTATATGATATTCTAGTAATACTTGCTGCCATACGAGGCAGGCTGCACGGTGTAAGGTGCTGATTTAGGTGAAGGGCTAGCCAGTGCCTGATGTAGCACAAGTAGAGGCTAAGCAGTTTAGCTTTTCTAGAGCTGAGACATGCAGAGGGAGCACAGGAGACTAAACAGGCAGAGGTGGCATATGACCACAGCCATGTACACAGAAATACACGGGTGCCTGCTTGGACCAAAACATCACAGCCAAATCTCATGGTGCAGCACAGGGACCCTAAAGCCCTGTGGCAGGGAAGAGTTACAAAATGAACCAACGCCAGGACTTAACATGAGGAAGCGCAAAGACCGAAGCCGTATTTTAAGGTTCAGAAGGAATTATTGTTGCTATCCGCTCTATATGTAGCACATTCCTGTTTTTAAAATGCCTAGGGTTTGCTGTGACCTGAAGTAGCAGTATATTCTGAGGCCCTTGGACCAGGAAAAGTCACAAGATCTCACTTTGGGATCCATGTGAACCCTGGCCAACTTTAGGGTCCCACTGCCTAAAATGAGTAACCTCTGAAGGAGGCTCCCATGAGCTTTCTTTTACTAAAGTTACAAAGAACCCAACTGCAAGGGAACGAGCATTTCCTAACCTAGATGCAAGTCAGTTCTCGCGGCAGACACAAAGCTTTAGCTGTGTAATACTACCAGCAAAAAGGCCCCAAACACATCCAGGGATATGGCTACAGTCCCACTAGCACTACAAGCTGGACTAATTAGGTGATCTAGTACTTCATCACAACTGTATCTGTAATATTGATAGGTTTCAGTCTAGCTGGGAAATGAGAGAATAAGAACGTTTTTACACTATTCAGTTTGCACTCATTCTATTCACCTGGCCGGGAAGATGAATACGGCAGTCTGTACAGTACGTACAGGGAGGAAATGCAAGTCAGGAACACAGGGAAGGAAACAAAACTGAGGAAGAAAAACTTACTTGTGAGAAGACCAGGGATATTTAAAAAAAACGCTGCGGTCTGTCAGTTTTTGCAGTCAATCTGTTGTCTCAGGGAAGAAATCTAAAGATGTCGAGTATGCCCTGAAAATAAGAAAAATCAAGGACTTAGTAATTATATCAGCTACCAAATACTTTCATGAAACTTGTCCAAAATAACTTGCTTTCCCTTTTCTTATGGTGTCATTCAGCCATAAAAGAGCACTTGATTCCACCACTGAATCTGCCGAGGGTTTACAGACTTGTACAATACAGACTGGTCAGACCGGGCTTCCCGGAGTGCACCGTATAAGCTGAGTGTAGGGGATCAGAGCAATCAGAAGGGTATTTAATCCATTTTCTTGTTCACCTGCATTTCTGAGCTGTTCCAGTCGGTGAGAGAACAATGAAAATGACAGAGGTCCAGCTCCTTTCTGGTTTATTAAGCCACTATGCCAGCGTAATGACTCTCCAAAACAGGCACATAAAATTATGTCTCCTAAATGTCTTTCAAACAATTGATGAGGGTCTGGCAATCTTTTGGACTAGTTTTTGTACTCACCCTCCGTATTTGCGATCTAATAGCTGAGGCTGTTCTCACTTAATTTAAGTCTAGCTTTGTAATTTCAAACGGTCCTTGATTTAAGGAGCCTCAGCTCAGCCAGAACGAAAGGCAGAGCCTGGGAGATGATCAGTGCTTCCACCTGCCCAGGCAGAGAAAGAGAGCAACACTGATCACAATTGGCGGAAAACATGAGGAAAGCTCTAGGGACAGCGTTGGGTCCATCCTGACAGTAGCGACCTCAAAGGAAAACGAAATTCAGGGTAGGGGAAAGCTGGAAACTCAGTGTTTTTTTTCCATTTTCATTTACTGAAGTCACTACTTTTTGCAATAAAACAATTTTTCCATCTCTTATCCCTCACATGCTAGCAGGACTGAGAGTTGAAAGGAAATAAAAGTCCAAAGAAACCTCTACCTAAAATACATGGAAATATATAGTGAAAATTAGTAAGGAACCGAACTCTTTCTGAGAGAAAATTGGCATAGCACAGAAGCAGGAAACCTTCAAAAAAACCCTGAGGTTCTGTACGGTACTGTAGCCACAGATTTGAAAACAAGATCTTACATTAACAAGAACAAAGTCAAATGACCTCATTAATACACCCCATGAAAAAGAAAGTGCTGAAAATTTCATTCAAAAAACCCTTTGCTTGTGATATGCTACTGAGCTCTCTTTGGCCCATAAAGGAATTTTCAAGGATAATACACTGAAATATAAGACAGCGAGTGTTTTAAAGCCTGAGATTAGAATGGTTCACTTACAGTATTATATTTATTTTGTCAGCACTTCTTTTAGAGCAAGTATTTTATGTTCTTCCACAGCTGGGTTTCAGCAATCCTGAAGTGCTTTATTTAATTCCAGATTTCATTAAGCTCCCAAACTCCAACTTAGCAACCACTATGGTAGTAATAGCACTTGTCAGCTACCAAAAACAAAAATGGAAGGGCTATGCATCTCTGCTTCATATTGAAGACTTTGGGATGAAACCTCCAGCAAGTTAATACAGCAAGGATTATGCATTTGTTTGGATTCCTTTGTTTTGGGTCATGAGATCCCTTATGTTAGCAAAATTAGCAAAACCCCCTCAGATAAAACCCACTGAATGAACTCTTTCCTGGCTGATTTTTCTTATTAGAATTACCGTTCCGTTAAAATGATCACCAGTCCACTAAAAAGATGGGGTCCGCGGGAAACATTCACAGTGCCTCACATACAGCAGCCGAGAAGTCTCTGGTGTATCAAAACCCAGAGCAATACACAACTGACAGTAACACTGAGCAAATATTAAACTCTACTAACAAGCATCATGTTTACAACCTAAAACACTCCTGTAATTTAGCCTTGTTTTCATGGTGAAATAGCTAAGGTCTCATGCCTCTACCCTGGGAAATCTATAAATACAGAGTGAAATTAACTGTTGCTCGGGAAAGAGATCTTGGAAACAGCCTTATGAAAATGTTACCTAAATCCTTAGCAACTGTCAAAAAGAAGATGGTACATGAGGAAATATTAGGAAAAGAACAGAGAGCATAGCAGAAAAAAGCTGTCATGCTGCCATGTAAATCCACTGCCCACCTAACATCTTGAATACTGAACATGGTTCCAGACATCTCATCCCCAAAAGGACAGAGTAGCAATCGAAGGATAAAGCAAAGGGTGGCAGGATAATCAAAGGTATGTAACAGCCTCTGTAGGAGGAGAGGAAAAAATAGCTTTAGGACTTTCCTACTGGAAAAGGGACAACTCAGGCAATGAGCTGTGACAGAGCCCTATGAAATCATCAACAGCACTGAGAAAGTGAATAAGGAACGTTTTTTCACTAGCTTTCATGACATAGGAAGGTGGCATTCCCAATGAAATGAGCAGTTAGCAAGCTTAAAACGAAACAAACCAAAAAAACCACAGCTGTTTTCTTCAAAGAGCGTAATTAAATTGAGGAACTCACTGCCACAGGAGGCAGTGGATGGCACAAGCGTGGACAGGGTTCAAAAAGCAATTCGCTGCAGTGGCCCGAGGAAAGTCCAACCTCTTGTTCACACAAAGATGCTAAATGTAAACCTTTAGTTTAAGAAGTACCACAGAGTGGGAGATGATACCAAGGGAAATTATCCTTTGGTCTGATGCAAATACAGCTGTTACCATGTTCTTACTCATTCCGTTAAGTCTTTTACCACATTCTTGATGATCTCTTGCAACATGCAGGTTTTAGAGAGCATTCTGTGCTGCCAGCAAGTGCACCAGGTAAGTTTTTGAGGGCAGAAAATTCCTAGTTTTCCTGGTCCTCCTTCCTCTGCAACTTCACACACCAGGGAACTGAGAGTAAGCAAAGAGCTGCTGTTTATTTTGGGAGACCAAAACCAAACAAACACGTGCCACCACTCCACTGAGCAGGGGAACACACAAGCCCTTCACTTGCAGCATGACAGCCCTCAGGGTAAAGACATCTACGAAACTGCATCAAATGAACACAAGACTGATGCAGAGTTTAAGCAACCTTGTTTATTTACTAAAAAATAGTCTTGTTTTGTCACCCCAATAAACTGAAAGTGACAATTCCACGTATCCCGTGCCTGTGCATTTGTCTGGGAAACCTCTCTCTGTTCCTCCTTCATTAATTAGATTAAACGGTTAAGATGAGGATCACTGACTATATAAAAAAGACTTTGTTTTCCTTTTGAGGGGAGGGAAGGTGCTGTCATCGCTTTCGTCCATGAGACACGAGAGTTTTGTTTATTCATCTCTTTAACTTTCGGTAGGAGTTGCAAACCGAACCTGAGGCTCCTCAGAAAACACTAGCCTAAAGCCTGCCTGCCTGAGCAGGATGCACTATTTGAACTTAAAATGGTATGTAAGCCCCTCTGCAGGTATTTCTATGTCAATCTGAAATTGCTTATTTGGACTAACTTTAAGCCAGCTCCTAAGGGCCTTGTCCAAAAAGGGAAACCAAGGAGAAGAGGTATTGCAGAATATGATGTTTCTAAATAGCTACATCGGAATAGTTACTGCTCTTTAAATTCATACTCTGCTGAAATACTGAAGTAACTGCTACATAGAAAAATGGCAACCATTCAAAACGGAAACAAATGAGGCGTGTCTGCACCACTTTCTTCACCAGTATACCTACATTAACATGAAATTATTATTCTGGCCAAATCAAAAGTCTTTCTTCCCCAGGCATATACTTACCTCAGTGCCTCTCTATACTTCAAGTTCATTTAGTGTAACCATACAAATTAGAAGAATCCGTCCTACTGGTACAGAGCCAGGCTGCTACCAGCCCAAGAACGTTTTTATGTTTATGCAGAGTTGCGTTGGTCTAGGGTAAGGTGTCTACTCCCCTGACTGGCTGACAAATGCCCCAGTAAAAATACGGCTTTGCTCGGGGGGACAGGAAATTGCAAACCCCTTTTCATTGTATTGCTCATCAGGGTGGTTTTACTTTCCTGATACAAGGTGGATCAGCTGGTTTAATTGAAGTCCAACCTGAAGAACACTTTGCTATTATATAATATAGTATTATATATACCCATACCCTTGAGTCAGGAAGGAAAGCACTTCTATTTTGGATTCAACTACAATAGATCACACTGCTGCAATCACTTTTATAGCAGTTTACCGCTTCATCTCCCAGAGCACAACTAAAGAAATAAACTTTGCAGTGTAGAAAGATCCCAAGTCCCCTGGACCCCTGAAAGCAAAATGAGTCAGCTTACAGGCACCTGCAAATTAAAGCTTAGTCTACTGGACACGCTAGTCCACTCCTGCTAGTCTCACCCACTCAGCTACGCTTGACAAACCCTGACAAAAAAAGCACCTTTTTGGTTGTAAGTTGCTACCAGGCCCCCAAACGAAATGAACTATACTGTGGCTACAGGGCTTCCAAGCTGGTACGAGAATCAACCTTAACCCTTCTACTGGCAGAAAAGCACTGCAATAAACACACCTCAAACGCTGCTGATGTACCAATAGCTTCTGGCATAGTCCTGGCCTTATTTTTCAATGGCTCATTCTCTTAAAGATGAGGAAATACTGGCTAAGGGACACTCAGAAACATAAGACTAATTAAAGAAAATGCAAAATTAATAGGAATAAGTTAAAAGGTAGAAAACATATTCAATTTGCTGTAGCTTAATCCTGCTTGGAGCAGGCAATAGGTTTATGCTACTTTACTTTCAGTGAAAGCATCCATACTGGATTTGGTGCACCTCAATTACACACACGAATTTCATACCTTGAGTTAACTTAATCTGAACTGCCTCGAGCAGTCCATATATAGACAACGACTGATTTTGTTCTCAGTGAACATGAAGATGTAACCCTATGTTCCTACTAAACCCACTGCAGCTAGTTTGCAAATATACTATCCAGCCCTATTCCCTGCTTGCAAATTGTCGATGAACCAGATTTCTGCTAATGCATCTGTTAATTACGCACTGAATTATTTGGATAAAGAATTTTTAGCCTGTGGGATGTTTGTGAGCCATTTAGTATTGGCTACGCATTGTTAATAACTGTTTTGACTTCTGCCTTATGTACCTTACG